CCAGTATATAGAAATTAAGCAATAGTCTTTCTTTGCATTATATTTTATTTAACTATTATATTTTATGTCATTTGATATAACATTGGATATTCAGACATGTCCTTAAAATCCATCCCTTTTTCGTGTTGTTTATAGGAAATAATAATGATTAAGAAAAGGAAAAGAATAGAAAAGAGGTTCAACACCTTTCAATCATTCAATGCATTAATTTATAAAGGAAGCTCCCGAACGTCTTGACCTTCAGAATTAAGCCATGTAGGGGGGAAAAAAACAAAGCAAGCTTACTACTGCTTCATATAATTATTATAAGTCATTTCAAGCTAACTAACACAAATAGTTATGTTTGTTAATTTTATTAAATTTATAAAATAAAATTATAATTTATTAATTTTTTTTATTTATCATCAAATTTTTATGAGAGAAATGAAGAAATTATCAATACCGATAAAAAAATAAATAACAATTAAAAATTTTAAAGAGAGAAAAACATATATTATCATAATTTTTAATAGAGACATAAAATAAAAACTAAAATTAATATTTTATAAAAATTATAAAATATCTTATAAAAATATCATAAGTATTCTATAATAAGAATGGAAAGGAGTGGATTCCGAAGGGGGCACATGCATACGACATATGTGATTCTGGAAAACATAATTTGCTGGCATTTCATTAATTAGACACAATTTTCTTTCACATTTTGGGTCCAAAAGAATAGCATCGAACTCTGTCTGATGACATTCCCAGAATCGCAGTTAATGGAAATGCTTGTATTCGTAGTTATAAAGTAGAATCAGTAATTATCTTCAATCACAATCTCTCATCGCTCGGTCCTAGTGTATGGTTCAATCTTTCTGTCAATTTTTATTTATTTATATGGTATTAGAATTTTATACAAATTACTTAAATTCTTTACTACTACCTAAGTATCTTAGTGGGTTTTTATGATAATTAGAAAATTATTTAATTATTTTAATTTGCATGTTCACACTTTGTCAAAAGAATGTAGAAAGCTGTACCAAACTTCATAAACTTCAGGAATGATATTTTTTATTTTTTATTTTTTATAATTTCGCAACTGTAAAAATAACAAAAGTTAAAATTTCATTTATTTTTTAATATTTTAAAAAAAAATTAAATTAATATATAAATTTATTTCATATTTAAAATTTAAATCTGAATTCTAAATATTTTATTAAAAAATACAAATTACTATCTCTTATATAAATCAATATTCATAAAAAAAATAATTATAATTGATGCACGTATTCAGTAAATTACAACCACCGAATAAAAATGGAATGATTTATACTATTTCAATAAATCAGACTTAAAAACACTATTTTAGATGTAAGTTGTATAATCTTCATCTATTAATTAAAATTTTTGACTCCATAAATTCTTTTACTTAGTTAGATTCCGTGTTGGCGTGATTTATCATAAGTGATTATATATTTATCGATTTTATTTATAATTTTTATTAATAAAATCTATTTATTAGACTCGATTTTTTTTTTAAATCCAAATGATTTGTTGATTATATATTCACATCTTTGAGATTAGCATTCATTATATTTCATATTTTTTTTCTTTAAGAAACTATAAGTATATTCATCATTTCATATTGTTTAGAGTTTGATACATATTTTTTGTTGAATAAAATTTAAGCTTTTAATAAAGTCAATATTTTTTAAAAATTTTATTTTAAATTAAAAATACTATAAAAAATACAATTATGCTCGTTTTCAATTCTTTACATATTTTTCTTTTTGTTGTTCTACAACCTTAACCTATTATTTCACTATTTTTTAAGATATTAGCACTTTTTTTCCTAAACAACACAAAGAGAAAACATAGCATATCTTATCCATCCTTTTAGAAGCTATATATGAATAAACTCTTAAGTTATTTTCTAAGAATAGTTAGGATGAGTTCTGATATGTTTGGATACTATATATTAGAAAGTGGGTTAAGAGTATAACTAAATTTTACAAAATCGACTTACAAGGTGATGATTGCTTCTTACTTATATACACTATTATGACCTTATTCTTAATTGATACGAGATTTCCAACAAGATTCTCATCTCCTAAACCTTGAATCTCCAATATATCTCTATTAATCAATTATGGGGAAAGAG